CATGTGATTTTGAAATTCTGAAATTTTAATTATTAAGTCTGGAGAGATTTCTGCTAAAATCCCTGGGTTCCGAGATTCATTTGTGTGTCTCTGGGATCATGACCATCAAGGAGCTTAATAAGTAGCCAGAGGGGCTGTTCGTAGGCAGCATCTCGGGGTCTCAATGGGGCAAGGGAGGAGAAGGACCAGCTCTACCCCTATCCTGTGAGGCCCCGTGTGTCTTGTCACTGCTGGCCCATACCTGAATGTCCAATGGGCTCTGGAAGATGGCGGCCACAGAGCTGCCAGGGGGAATAGGTGCTTTTTTTAATTGATTGAGATTCTGTGATTTACAAGACTGCTATTGGTGGTTTCTCATGTATATAATTCCAATACCTACACCCCTCACTAGTATACCCACCTCCATCCCTCAAGGATCTTAGTAACCCTCCCTTTCAGCATCCCTCAACCACCACCAACAAAAACAACTCCTTTTTGTGCATTAATACTCCTGTTGTGATGCTTTAGCCCTTTATTGCTAGCTGCATTTAAAAAAAGTGGGAAGACTAACATCCACTTTGTAAGTCAAAAAACCAAGTCGATATAAACAGTACTTATTGGGAATTCATACATTCCGAACAACAGAGCATAGTGTTTGGGAATATATATGTCACAACACTGTTCTACAAGAAAACTAGGGAACATTTTATTGGGGCACAAAATTCAGGGTTGGGAGGGTCATTGGGAAAGGGATTTGAAAAGAACTTAGAGAAAGTCTGTCTAGTTTGATTTTATTTTTAGCTTTTTGTTTCTTTTCTTTGGCAACTTGATGGAACTATAACTCACATACATACGAGTCATTCATTTGAAGTGTAAAATCCCAGGGTCAGAGAGATAGTACAGGGGGTAAGAGGTTTGTGTTGCATTTGGCCAGCCCTTCTTCTATCCCTTGTATTACATATGGTTCCTCCCCATGCCCTTACCCGCCAAGCACTGCTAAGAGTGATCCCTGAGCACAGAGCTAGGAGTTACCCCTAAGCACAGCCACCACAACCCTTCCTCTCTTCTCCCCTACCAAACAAAAAGTAAGTGTACAATTCAGACTGGGGATGTAGTTAAGCAATAGAACACTTGCCTTCATGTGTGAGAACCTGAATTCAATTTGTAACACCACAAATAAAACAGAAGAATGATTAAGTAATCCTGAGCACCACCAGAGGCACCGAGAGGTGTGAAACCCCAAATTAAAATAATACTAAAGTGTATAACTCAGTGACCCATGCAGCCACAAACACAGTCCATTCTAGAACATTATCGTCACCTCGACAAGGAACTCTAAATCCCTTAACTTCTCTTCCTCGCCCCCAGCCCTTATCCCTAAGCAATATCAATCTATTTTCTATCTATAGATTTCTTCAAACTGGGTATTATTATGCAAATGCAATCTTTTGTAACTAGTTTTCTCACACCTAAATTTTTCGGGATTCACTGACATTATATTAAATATTATATCAGTATTTTATTCCATTTTTTTAAAAAAAATTGTTTTTGTGCCACATGTGGCATTTACAAGGCTTCTCCCAGCACATTGCTTAGGGATCTCTCCTGAGCTTCCCACATGCAAAGGATGCTCAGGAGTTCTGGGCTATCTCCCACCCTCCGAACTTCACTCATTTTCATGGCTTAGTAATATTTCATTGTTTGCACATATTGCATTTTATTTACCCACTCATCTGCTGATAAACATTTGGTGGTTTCCACTTTTTGGATGGCATGAATGGGTGCTGGTTTTCAAGGGGAGATGTTCTTGAGTGAAAATGACTCTATCAGGAAAATCCTATATTTTAACTTAGAAAGAAACTTCAAAATGTCTTCACAGAAGCTCAACCATTTTACATTCCTGCCATTCCTCTGACACTGCAGAAATGGGCCTATTTCTCCACTTCCTACCAGCTCTAGGTATTCCATGTCCTGTGATTGTCACCATACTAGTGGGTGTGAAGCAGAATCTCACTGTTGATTTTCTTTGCTTTTCTCTGATGAATAATAATGTGAACATCTTTTCATGTGCTTATTGGCAATTTTCATATCTTCTTTGGAGAGTGTCTATGATTGAACTATTTTTTATTAATGAACGAGCGATAGCACAGCAGTAGGGCATTTGCCTTGCACGCAGCCAACATGGCCGACCCGAGTTCGATTCCTCTGCCCCTCTCGGAGAGCCCGGCAAGCTACCGAGAGCATCTTGCCCGCACGGCAGAGCCTGGCAAGATCCTCGTGAAGTATTCGATATGCCAGACACAGTTACAACAAAGTCTCCAATGGAGACGTTACTGGGCCCACTCGAGCAAATCGACGAACAACGGGAGGGCCTTTACCTTTACCTTTAGGAATTCTTCATATACTTGAAATATAATCATTTATCAGATTTATGACTTTAACTAGTTCCTAAGCTCCAGTTCCTAAACCAATGGGCTACAGGTGGTCATCTGGTATATACACATAGCTAACAAAACACAGCATAAATTCATTTTTAAAATAAACGTATTAAATAAATTTAAATGTGTAACATTTTCAAAATGATCAAATTAAAAGCATAACCTCACACATAGGCACTCGTTCAATATTCAGGGCAAAACAAAAACGCTACAATGCCCCAAATAAGTCAACGCTATGCTTGAAGGCACTTAACCTAACTCCTAGGGATGATTTAGTACTAGGAGAATCTGGTTCACTAATACTTCCAAAAGATTACAAAACTGACACTACTAGACAAGGCAGGGGAATGGGGCAGGGACTGAAGCCTGGGAAAAATGGTCTTGGGTACTTTGGTGTCTGTAAGATGGCACATTGCACCAAAGCATTAACAGTACTACAAGCATGTGGCCAAAACTATAATAATGATGAAAAAAATTCTTTCTTTCCAAAGGTTCCCCTTCCCAGAAGCAGAGTGTTAAAACAGTGGGTTGGGTGTTTGCCTTGCATGCAGCCAACTTGGGTTCAATCCCGGATACCCCATTGGGTCCACTGAGCCTTCCAGGAGTGACCTCTGAGTGCAGAGCCAGGAGTAAACCCCGAGCACCACTGGGTGAGCCTCCACACACACACACCCACCCACACACACACACACACACACACACACGTCTAGCACAGGGGTGATGGAGTACGAAATATAGTCAATAGTACAAATTGAATCCTGCCTCCCACTTTTTTCCAAACTCAAAATAATTTTTACTTGGTTTGGTTTGGTTTGGTTTGGGGGCCACATTTGGTGGTGCTTGGATAATCCCACAGATTGGCGCTGCTCAGGAGACCATGAGGTTGTGGGCATTGGACCTAGGTCTCCTGTATGGAAAGCACGTATTCCCTCTATTAAACTATTTCTCCAGCCCCGTTTTTTACATTAAAAAATTGTTGTTAATGGTCAAAGTGATATGAGCTTCGAATTTCAGTATCTATAAATAAAGTGAAACAAAGCCATATCATTTTTGTGTATTATTAGCTACATAGCTCCTTTCAAAGCTATAAGGTCACAACTGAGTCTTCCAAAGAGACCAAATGGCCCAAACAGCTCACATATTATTATCCAGCCCCTCACCCCAAAACCTAGCCAAACCTGATACTAGATCAATGAATAAAATGACTTCCTGCTTCAAAGATAAGCAGCCAAAAGCCATTCCTAATTGCCAAGACCACTTGATTTTCTTAATCTCCTTCTCTGTTTCTGTTTAATAAATGTTTATACGACACTTTAATTTTAATTGTATTAAGAAGTTTTAAATGGGGGCATTCCATTCACAAAATCCTCTTTGCTTGCAAAATAACCAGTATCTTCAAGTAGCTGATGCACAACCCCGCTATTTAATTTTTGACAAATCTATTGCAGCTGATTTAGAACTTGGTCTGATACAGTTTGGTGCTGCAGCAACTACCCAGATCCCCTTCTATAACCCTTATGAAGCTTGATGTCTAATTGGACTCCATAAACTACTACAACGTGCCCTGAGTTTCCTTTCCCTGTTGGGATCTTACATTAAGAGGGTTTGAATATTTTGCCTAGAAAGGCCCTAAAATGTTTTTTTTTTTTTAAAAATCTCTCCTGGCACTAGAGAAAAACCCATCGACCAATTCTGGTAGACCACGCTGCCCAACTTCTGCATCCCCACAGTGTGATAAGCAAGGATTCCTCCATTCTTCATCTTTTGCTAAAGGCTCACCTTCACTTCGGTCCTAACCTGGCTCTGACCCGAAATGACTCATTTCGGCTCACTTCAAATCCTGCATCGTATCCGATGCAGTTCATTTTCATTCCGGGGACCAGGACACAGCAATGATGAACCTAGAGACTAGGACCATCTGCGTCTGTCCTTACTAGCCTCAAAGTGATCGCCACCAACTTCAGTAAACAGCAACAAAGCAGAGACCCTGCTGAGGCGTGCGTGTCCGTGTGTGTGTGTGTGTGTGTGTGTGTGTGTGTGTGTGTGTGTGTGCTGTTTTCGGGGGGGCTGCCCCCTCCAACCTCCCGTCGCCTTTGCATTCTCCGTCGCCTTTGCATGTTTCAAAAGTGACTCACTGCCTCAAGTCAGGTGCTGCTTTTGGAAAAGCCAGATTCCTTTCTTTCCAGCACTTTCTCATCCAGGTGGCAGCGGCCAGCTGCAGTCCCACGGCGGCGCCGCCCCCTCCCCCGCCGGCCACTACCCCCGAGATGAGTTGCAAAGCAGCCCCCAAACTTAGCCCGGCCCAGCGCGCGGGAGGCCCCCGCGCCCCGAGGCCGCGATCGCCGCCCCCCGCCTTGGCCCGCGCTCCCCGGGACTCCCCGGGCTGGGGGTGGGGATGGGGGGAGGGCACTCGGCAGACCCTGATGGGTCCTGGGGACCCCCGCAGCCGGTCCCCCGCGCCCCCCGGCTTTCCCGCGCGTCGCCGCCGAGCCCCGGTCCCTCCTGGAGCGCAACTTGCGAGCGCGCGCGCGCGCGCACCTGCACCCCGGACCCCCCGGCCGAGCCCCCCAGCTCCCGGCTCACCTGCTCGGGTGGGCTTGCCCCCGGGGTCTCGCCGTGCGCGGCCACCCGGCACCCTCCTCCTCCTCCTCCTCCACTTCCTCCTCCTCCACCTCCTCCTCCTCCTCCCGCCGCCGCCTTTCTCCCTCCTCCCCCAGAAGCCGCGTCGGTGTCAGTCACGCAGCGCCCGGGGAGAGTCGCCGCTGGCGGCTTCCGGCAGCTCCAAATACAGCCGAGCCGGAGGGGGAGACGCCGGGGGGGAGCAGAGCCCCGCGGGTGGGGGTGGACATGCAGGGGGACGGGGAGGAGGGGCAGGGCAGATGGGCCGTGGGAGCCGAGCCCGGGAGATGGGGGCGCCGGGGAAGCCAGCCCGAGCGTGCACCGACTCACCGCGCGCGTCTGCAAGGCGAGCTGGAGAGATCAGGAGGCTCCGGGCCCCGGGTACCCTCCTCGAGCGGGTCCTTCAAGCCCCGGGTGCAGGAACGATGAGCAAGGAAGCCCGAACCCGGGCTGCGGGTGCCGCCGCCTCCCCCACGCAGCGATCAGGCTCGGCGGGAGAGTGGGATGGACATTCTTACCTTTGCTCAGCCTCGAGATGGGAGGCGGGCCTATTCGGCCGTGGCTGGGAAAGGTCTGTTGCACTTGGAGCACCTTTTAAAGTCACAAATTGCCCCGTGGTTTGAAAATGAATGTACAACCACCCCCATCCCACTCCCTGCCTCCCCCCCCCACCCCCCGCGCCAATCTGCTCTTAAAATCTGGATATCTGGATTTGGGACTGTTTTCCCTTGATCAATGATCATGACCAAATTGGAAGCTTTTTTTTTTTAAAAAAAAATTTTTTTTTGGTGGACCCAGAAGGAAAACATTGATTTTTCTATTTTCATCAATTTATTTTCATCAGAAAACGTGGAGTCAAAGCTTTTCGCTGAATGAATGCCAGGGAGATAATTACAGACAAGAGAGAAGGGGGTGGGGGTGGGGGTGTAATTGATACTTCTTCAAGCACAATTTTCCAAACGAAAGAGGCAGATGACTGTCTAGGAAGCCAATACTCTTTGCCAGTGGCAAAATTGCATCTGCAAGGCTTACTCTGTTCCCCAAGGCCACAAATTAAAAGAAGCGCATCCCTATTACACATCATCCCTATTACACATCTCTGCTCTTGCCCATCAGTGGAGATGAGGAATGTTCAGTTGCTTCTTCGTCTTCTTCTTCTTCTTTTTTTTTTTTTTTTGGTCTGGAAAGAAGGAAAACACAATGACCTTAAACACTGACCAGTAGAGAACGTTAATGATATTACTAGGTTACTGTAAAAATCAAAAGACAAATGTATCATAATTGTTAATAATGTTTTATCCTACCAAGAGCATTTACTAGAGAAAACTGTTACCTATTTCTTAATCTATAAATATTTGGAGTATTCAGAGAAAAAAAAAACATTGACCAATAGATGCACACAGTAGGACTGTCTCCAGAACCACTCATTCCTACTAAGCATATGCCCTGTATTGAGCCGGTGGTACTCTATTTATCCTGATGGATGAAATGTATTTTTATTTAGAAGATTTCTGTCCCGGTACTGTTTCTACAAGACTTCATTTGTGTGGATTTGTAGGAAGCTTCCAAATACCCAATCTAAGAACTGTTTATCTGGCTTGGGGACCATATTCACAGTGCTGGGGTATAGGGGGAGTAGGGGGTTCAGCTCACTGTGATACCCTGATGAAACTTAGGCCTCCTCCATGCAAAGTTTTTGCGAACCCCTCCACTATCACCCTCTTGCCCTCTAATGTCTTCTAGCATTAACTGAAGAAAACACCCATAGAGCAAGCGCTTGAGCTTAGTCTATTTTGCACTGGAATATAAAGTATTCAAAATATACAGGGGACTAAGACACAAACCTTGCCCTTAGCTTACTAATACAGCAGGAAGCTGAAAATATTATGAGAATAAGCAAAGGCATCGTGGAAAACATTCTAAGAGAAGGAGGAGCAGATGAGAGGTTGCTTCATTAAGCAGGAAAGGGGGCTGCTTTTGGCATCAGGGATCAGAGAATGCTTCCTGTGGGAAGTGAGAGGGAATTCCTTATGGCAGGAATAAAGCACTAAGAGTAGGCAATGGGGGAAGAGCACTGACGTGAGGGAACAGCAGACCCAGGAGTGGAAAGGTGGTTAGGGTTGGGGTAGGCATAGAGGACAGTCAGGGTCCTTGCTGGAAAGGACGACCCTCAGGGATTATTGACAGTTTAGGAACAGAATAATAAAAATAATGTTTCATTTGATGGTGTGAAGGTTTGGGAAGAGGCAAATAGGGAAATTCTCTAGGAAATAACTCACTCTATGGAAGGGGGAGTAAGTAAGTAAGTAAGTAAAGGCTCTCCCGTTGATCGTCGATTTGCTCGAGCGGGCCCAGTAACGTCTCCATTGGAGACTTTGTTGTTACTGTGTCTGGCATATCGAATACTCTCGGTAGCTTGCCGGGCTCTCCGAGAGGGGCGGAGGAATCGAACTCGGGTCGGCCATGTTGGCTGCATGCAAGGCAGACGCCCTACCCGTTGTGCTATCGCTTCTTTTATTTATCTTTATTTTTTATTTTTTGCTTTTTTGGGTCACACCCTGTGATGCTCAGGGTTTACTTAGGGCTCTTCCCTTAGGAATTACTCCCTTCTGGAGGTGCTCAGGGACCATATGGGATGCTGAGAATTGAACCTGAGTCAACTGTGTGCAAGGCAAATGCCCTACCTGCTGTACTATTCCTCTGGCTGGAGTAGTGGGTTTTAACCAGGTGCTTTCATTCTTTTTTTTTTTTAAGTTTTATTTGTAAACGAATCACCATGAGATACAGTTACAGACTTACAAACTTTCATGATTAGGTTTTAGTCATACAATGATTGAGTACTCATCCCTCTACCAGCGCCCATTCTCTACCACCAATGTTCCCAGTATCCCTTCCGCCACAACCATCCCATCCCTACCCCCCACCCCCTCTGTGGCAGACACATTCCATTTTAGTCTCTCTCTCCTTTTAGGTGTTATGGTTTGCAATACAGGTAGTAAGTGGCCATCATAGGTGCTTCCATTCTTCCCTTAGCAAATTCCACCTATGGTAACATCCCAGACTCAACCTCTTGAGCTGTATCCTCGGCCCTCCCAATGTTAGTTTATGTATTTTTCTAGTTAAAAACGTCTATTTGAGTCAGAACCCTATTAAAATCTATTCAGATTTCTGCTATGTGATGTATCCCAGAATGGGGTTGTGAATTCTTCTTCCCAACTCTTTCACTTTTACACTCCCTACTTTCCAGCTGAACATAAAACAGTCAAGGAAGCAAAGATTATGTCTATTTAGAGGTTCAAGATCGTTTCCCCAAGGTTGACATCGAGAGGTCATAGAATACATATTTGTTGATATATTATTTCTTTGCAGGATTAATTTTGAAGATGGTTGTATTGAGAGGAAGATAGAATCTGGGCTTCTTTAGTCCTTTTGGATCCTTGAAATTTCAAACCAAACCTGTTTTTCTTCTTGGCAGATGGTTCCCTTTGAACAGGAGGCTATGTTAACCTCAATACCTTTAAGATTTCTCTCCACTTCAGATTTTCTCCTCTCTTTCCCCCTCCTCCATTCCTTAGATTGCATTTGAATCCACATTCCTTTCCTTGCCAAAGCTAATAAGATTCTTTTCATTTTCCATCTTCGGCTCTTAAACTTGCATCTGAATCTCTTGCTCTACAATCTCACTGGCCTGTTGGAGTAATACCTAAGTAATCTTATCCACATCAATCTCTTCCTTCTTTGAATAGCGTTAGAATGTATATTATATACAGTGCATTAGACAGGAGCTGCTCTCAATTTATTCTTATTCATTTGTTGATTTTATTTTTGCTGTTTGGACTACATCCAACTGTGCTTAGGGACTTAGGGCATTGTACCTCAGTCTCCCATATGCGAAGACTCAACCTCTTGAGCTGTATCCTCGGCCCTCCCAATGTTAGTTTATGTATTTTTCTAGTTAAAAACATCTATTTGAATCAGAGCCTTATTAAAATCTATTCTATTCAGATTTATGTCAATTTATTTTTTTCTGGGTTTTCTAAGTCTCTCGCTATATTTAAGTGCCCAACTCTGCATATCTCAAATTTATTTTATATCCTTATGTCAAGGAAAGGGATGCTTGTACTCTCTTCCTCTTAGCACACGTTAACCAATGACCTGCATTTATCCCTGTGGGGTCACCCCCTACACAAATGCACACAGGGCCTAAGCAAGGACTTTCCACAGCACGTCATCAGTGTTCAGAAAGTAATGTCTTCCTGGAACCAATCCAGACTTAAAGTCAGAGCTAAAAAAAAATAGATGGATTTGTCCAAAATAGTACAGAAAATAAAATTGTTGCCAAGTGTTTAATACTTGTTTTAAACACTCCAAGTCATCGGGAAGAAATAAGATAATGGCTTGAAAACAGAATGCATGAAAGTTAAATTAAAAAGTTCAGCGTCAGCCTGAGGCAGAAAGATTATCCAAGAAAGCTGAAGAGAGGCAGAGGCCAGTTAGAACCCAGAGTGCGTACAGAGGATGGAGCAGTGTGATAACAGAGTACTCTGGTACTCTGTCAACCAGGCTTGAGCAGGTGACTTGGCCTGAGGTCAATGATTATACAAGGTCAGAAGGAAAGCACGCTGAGTTTTTATCTTCAGGGAGTATTTCTAAGAGGTGAGAGATGAAACGCATGAAAACATTTAGTCAGTCAGTCATGGTCCTCCCATTGTTCATCGATTTGCTCGAGCAGGCCCAGTAACATCTCCATCGTGAGACTTGTTACTGTGTTTGGCATATCGAATGCATCACGGGGAGCTTGCCAGACTTTGCCGTGCGGGCAAGATACTCGTGGTAGCTTGCTAGGCTCTCCGAGAGGGGTGAAGGAATAGAACTCGGGTCGGCTATGTTGGCTGCGTTCAAGGCGAACGCCCTACCACTGTGCTATCGCTCCAGCCTATGAAAACATTCATGTCATCCAAACCCAACACACTGGTCTGTCTACTCATTTGTTTCTTTCAGTATCTTCTATTGAGAGGCATTGGCAGTTA